AATCCCTAACCTCTGCCTTAGAGTCCTCTGAACTCCTCTCCCTCTGGCCTTCATCCCTCACTGACCCCTCTTCTGCTCTCACCCTCCTCCACAACACCCTCTCCTCCACACTCAACACTCTTGCCCCATCACCTCCCATACTGTCTCCTACTCTCGTTCCTCCCCCTGGTTCACCACCCACCTCCGCTAACTAAAGAGCCAGGTGCGGGCTGCTAAACGCACCTGCCTCAAATCTGGCCTAACGGTCCACCGGCAAATCTGTCTGGACCTCCTCAAAACCTACCGCTCCACTCTAGCCTCAACCAAGTCGTCCTTCTACTCCAGGATAATCCTGGAGGCGAAGAACAACCCCAGGCTTCTGTTCTCTACCACATCCCGACTCCTCCGTCCCCCTCGCCACCCCGCGCAGGTCATCTCCTCCAACCTTCACTGCGAGGAGATGCTGGATTTCCTTGAATCCAAAATCAAGGGAATCCGCTCTGCGGTCACTGCCCCTCCAACTTCCACCCAACCCCCACCCCATCCTCCCCTCCACACCTTCGAACCCGTTTCCCCACCCTCTGTCACCAACCTCATCCTGTCCTTGAAACCCACCACCTGCTCCCTGGACCCCATCCCCACTCCATTCCTTATCTCCCAGCTCCACCTCCTTGCCCCACTTCTTACAGACACCATTAACCTGTCCCTCTCCTCTGTCTCTGTTCCCATTCCCCTCAAAACTGCCACCATCACTCTCACACTGAAAAAACCCTCCCCTGATGCGTCGCAGCTATCAAGCTACCGGCCCATCTCCAACCTCCCCTTCCTGTCCAAGGTTCTCGAAAGAGTCGTCGCCTGCCAGCTGCGCTCTTTCCTCTCCACCCATTCACTATAGGAGTCGGGTTTCCATGCTGCCCATAGCACGGAAACCGCCCTGGTCAAGGTCACTAATGACATCTTGACCATCTGCGACCAGGGCTCCCTCTGCCTCCTCGTCCTCCTCGACCTATCGGCCGCATTCGATACGGTCGACCACTCTATCCTCCTCCACCGCTTGTCCTCCCACCTCAACATTCAAGATCGTGTCCTTGAGTAGTTTAGGTCCTACCTCTCCCACCGTCTTCATTTTGTTTCCACTAACGGCTTTTCCTCCAGCCCCCGCACTGTCTCGTGCGGTGTCCCTCAGGGCTCTGTCCTCGGTCCCCTCCTCTTCACCCTCTATATGCTCCCCCTGGGTGACATCATCCGCAGACATGGGGTTAACTTCCACATGTATGCGGATGACACCCAACTCTACCTTTCCTCCTCTACCCTCAACTCCACGACCACCGATGTCCTGACAGCCTGCCTGTCCGACATCGAGTCCTGGACGAGAGACAACTTTCTTCAGCTCAACGTGCGCAAAACTGAGGCCCTCCTGATTGGCTCACGTCAGCGCCTCCGCACCTCAGGCGCTGACAGCATCAGCATCCAAGGCTGCACTCTCCACCTCTCAAAGCCAGTCAGGAACCTCGGGTTCTGTTCGACCCTGAGCTGTCCTTTCTCCCTCATATCCGCGCCACAACTGGCACCGCCTTCCATCACCTCCGAAATCGCCAGACTACGGCACTACCTCACCCCTCACGCTGCTGAAACACTGGTCCACGCCTTTATCACCTCAAGGCTGGACTATGGGAACTCTCTCCTCGCCGGCCTTCCCGGCACCTCCCTCCACAAGCTGCAGGTCATTCAGAACTCTGCAGCTCGTGTACTGTCCCGCACCAGGCTTCGCGACCACATCACTCCCACCCTCGCTCGCCTCCACTGGCTCCCCATCCCCCAGAGGATCGAATTCAAGATCCTCATCCTCACCTACAAGGCCATTCACGGCCTTGCTCCCTCCTACCTCTCCGACCTACTATCCCCCTACTTACCTGCCCGTACCCTCCGTTCCTCTGGCTCCGGTCTGCTCCACATCCCCCGCCCCAACCGCCCTACCATCGGTGGCCGGGCCTTCAGCCTCTCAGCCCCTAGGCTCTGGAACTCTATCCCCCAGTGCCTTTGCCTTGCTTCCTCCCATTCCTCCTTCAAGGTCGGCCTCAAGATCTTTCTCTTCAACCGTGCCTTCAGCTCCCCTCTCGACTCTCTACCCCCTCCTCGCTCCTTCCCTTCCCTCCCCTCACCCTGACCATTTCCCCCCTGCTCGGGTCCCGACCCAACTGTCCAGCACCTTGGGACGTCCTCCCGACGTGTAGCCGTTTCATTGTACTGTTGAGAAACGCAATAAGGTTTGTTATTATTATTAACAATAATAATATTATAATAATAACATGGCCTACTAGGGATTAGAGAAATAATCTATTCACAATGCCCAGTTTGCCAAAGTTTATTATGAACAAAAAACTTAATGTTCCCGTGTCATTTGGCTGCAACCGGAATTCCAATGCTTACACACCACCGGTCATTTTGTTGCAGATGATTTACATCTGATAGATTTTAATTTCTTAAATTTAATAAAAGTGCCATTGCCAGCCTTAAACTTTGAAATTAGGCTAATTCTAAGTATTCACTAGAATTAACCACATTGGCTCTATTTGTTCCAAATGACCTCTCAAATGACCACCAGAATCTCCCAAGGATTGTGTTTTAATTCAGAGCTGTATGATTCATTTAAAAAAATCACGAATCTTAACAACTATGGGCTGCAATTTTGAGTGGGGCTACTGTACTTCAGAGACAATATTTTCAAAATTCTGCACATTTTTGGCCACAAAAAATTCTGATATTAACAAGAACATTGGTCAGGATTACATAAAGATTGGACAGCTCTCCCAGAGTTTGTCTGGAGCATCCTCAACAAAAACAAAGTCCTATCCAACAAAACAAACTGATTTAATTCAAAATTGATCCATAGAAATTGATAAGGCATTTAATTTTCATTTATTTTCGCCATAAAAGCTGTATACAGCTCAAATATAATAATAATTTATTATTATTATCATTATGTCCAGCCCTAGCACCATCAGAGTACCTGAATTGATATAACAATGTAGCGAAATATATCCACTGGACAATCTGTAACAGCACAATAATCTGGGACTCACAAGTGCATACAGATAGAACAGTAACCTGTTATATCATATTTAAGAAAACAACTAGGCTGTACATACAATATCACTGATGTTGCCATTCAAAGTGACAACATACAAAATAAAGAACGAGAGAAGATCAGGAATTATGTTGACCAACAAATTGAATGTGAACCTATCTGACAGTCAAGACAAGCATAGTTAGTAGAAACATTAGTTGCAACTGGGATTGTTAATAAGACAATTCAGGAATGGCTTGACAAAATACCTGATGCATAAAATGTCCCCCTCTGGCAGAAATCAGATTTTTTGGCAAGTTCAAATATACTAAGAAAAGTAAGATCCATTCAAGTGTTATGGGGCAGTGTCATTGATATGGCTGACTCATCACTGAAACCCACTTAGAAACTACTTCCATGGAGTGATCTAAACAGCAATAACATAATCATAATAATCATCATCATAATAATAATTAATCATCATTCTTATATTTGGTATAGTGCTTTCACAAAAGGAGGACATCCCAAAGTGCTTCATAGGATATACTGTAAAGTGGAGTGAATTTTTTGTGGGTGAACGTGACAGCAATGTCCCACAAACAGCCATGGAATGAATAACTAATTTTATTAAGGGGACCATTAGCTTGGACACTGGGAGAAACTCCCTTTTTTTTTAGAATGGTATCATGGGATCTTCAATGCTCACCTGAATAGGCAGATGGGGCCCTGCCTTAAAGTTTCATCCAAAGGTCGATGCTTCCAAAGTTGTATTGGAATGTCAGTTTAGACTATGTGAGTTCCAAGTCTTGATATTTATAAAGTTTATATTAATATTAAAGTGTGAAAAAAGTGAATTCTAGTGTTACCATTCTAAAACAAATGGCATGAACTGTAGCATTGGAAATCCTTTTGCACATTTAAAGTATATGTCATTAACCTAAAGTGGATCTTTCAAGTCTCAAGATAGATGTCTGAAAAATTTGCAAAAATGAAGAGAACAGGTTATTCACACTTAGACTTGAGTGATTCAAGAGTCAATGACCTGGTTACTTTGCTGAAGTACTACAATTGTCGTCAAAGTGAGTTTCTCCTGGTTTTCTGGCCGACAATCCAGATAAAATTGGTCATTCATTTCGTGGTTATTTTGTAGGACTTTGCTGTGACAATTGGCTGTTGTGTTTGACTACAAACTCACCATTTTACACTTATACACTTTACAGTACTATCCTGTGAAGCGCTTTGAGGTGTTTTGACAATATATCACTATATCAAATGCAAATATTATTATTAGAATAATACATTTAATATTCATTTTAGTAAATTTGTCTCGGGAGCCGAATGCATTTTAGCAGTGAGTTTTTGTAACCTCACCATGGATCAGAGTAACTACCAAGCCTGATAATTTGATTGAAGGTGAGGATCATCAACAGAGACGTAATCATCAACTCTGCACTGTTTGAGGTGTTAATGTTATTTTAGTTCCTTTGCACAGGGCTTCATAGTTCCTTCAAGTCACCTCCCATGAGAAAAAATCAACATTCAAATATGTAAACAAACATTTTTCAGAAATAAACTGCGGTAATAAGAGTTGATGATTTGGGAATTGCTTAGTTTGTTGAGAAAAGAGAATTTTTGGCACCGATGCCAGGATCTGTGTCAGGTATAGAACAAACTTCGTTCATGCTGTTGATCCCTTGCCACCAGAAATTCCACTGGGATAGGCTACATCATTTCCACATGGGACTCAAGCGCTGGTTGCATGTGTTTGAATATATTGTGCTGTCCACTAATAATTGGTGGGAATGCATAACTATTATTTCTCCAATTTACTTCACCAATGGAAGAAATGACCAGTCACTCCAGCAATTTAAAAGTAGAATAAATAATTGCACCTTTGTGAGTCTTTTCACAGCTTTTCATAGTGACCTGAGTGCTTCTTACATTCTGTTTGCAGATTGAAAACCTGCAGGAACAGCTGCGGGATAAAGAAAAGCAAATGAGCAGCCTGAAAGAGCGGGTAAAATCCTTGCAGGCGGACACCACAAACACAGACACTGTGCTTACCACCTTGGAGGAGGCTCTTGCAGAAAAGGTTTGTAGTGCATATGGTTAGGACTGGATGGGATACTAATTGGTGGGGGCAGAGTTGCAGAAGGCCCACCTGGTCGCAGAGGTAGGGGGAAGCAAGGCCATGGAGGACTTTGAAAGTGAGGACCAGGAACTTGAACTGTATCCTCTGTGTGATGGGAAGCCACCAGTGGAGTCGGGTGAGGATGGAGGTGATAGGGTCACGGAGCTTGGTGTAGGAGAGGACGTGGGCTGCAGAGTTCTGGATGATCTGCAGCCCATGGAGGGAGGAGTTGGGCAGACCGACAAGCAAGGAGTTATGAATTTGATGTTATGAATGCATGTATGATGGTTCCGGTGGCTTGTGGTGTGAGATTGTGGAGGAGTCGGGTGACGTTGCGGAGATGGGGTAAGCCAGAGTGGACATGGAACAGACGTGGAGTAGAAAGCATTGTGAAGCATGAAAGGTAGAAAGGATAGTTGAGGGTCAAACAAGACACCAAGCTTCTGGACTGGCTTAGCAAGGTGGAGTGTGCAACCATGGATAATGATGCTGTCAGTGCCTGAGGTGTAGAGGCACTGACGGGAGCCAACCAGAGAGCCTCGGTCTTGTTGATGTTCAAGTGAAGAAAGTTAGCTCTCATCCAGGACTTGATGTCTGACAGACATTCTGTCAGGACAGCAGTTCCTGGAGTCAAGGGTGGAGGCAGAGAGGTACAGTTGGGTGTCATCCGCATACATGTGGAAGTTGACCCCATGTCTATGGATGATGTCACCAAGAAGGATAAATAATAAGACCAAAAAGGAGAGGTGATAACAATTTAAGTAAGCTTTCATAAATAGGTTTAAATAGTATAATAATATAATAATATGATGATATGATAGGACTTGTGGAGTCCTGTAGCTCAGTGGTTAGAGCACTCGCTTTGCAAGCGAGAGACCTGAGTTCAATTCCAGGCAGGGCGAAACCTTGGGCAAGTTTCCTTACTCCACACCCCTAATAATAATCCCTCTAAAACCAAGAACAATATTAAATTGGTCATTTTCAATCTACGACTGTTTGTGGGACATTGCTGTGCGCAATTGGCTGCCGCGTTCGCCCACAAATATACAGTCAATTCACTTTACAGTGTGTTCTGTGAAGCGCTTTGGGACATCCTCCCGACGTGAAAAGCGCTATATCAAATTCAAGGATTATTATTATTATTATTATGATGGTCTTGTTCAAATGATTTTGACACTGAATTTCCATGTTCACTGTGTAGGAAGCATTGTGATTGTGAAGCATTGGCTTCACTCATGATTTTGAAGCATTTTGGGCATTGTGATTATTTCTAGAGGGTAAGAGATTTGAGAACTAGGAAGTTTAGTTTGAATGGTTTGCTTGTTTTGGGGAAATGCCCTTTCTCCCCCTCATCAGGTGGCTAGCCTGGATGGCAGAGATGCTGTCCATTGTCAAAATACCCTTGGATTTTCAGAACATGGTAGATAAAAGTTTTTTTACTGAAGTGTTTCAGCTATTTCATTTCTATTAACCTCATAAAGCATTATTGCATCGCTAAGGTTAAATTGCCTGATTATGTTTTAACCTTTTAAAACATAGCTCAATGTGATTTGCTTTCTTTCCCCCATTCTTTCCCTTAATAATGTTGTAAAATTGTTCCAGGAGAGAATAATTGAGCGACTGAAAGACCAAAGAGAGCGAGATGAAAGAGAAAAGCAGGAAGAAATTGATTCATATAAAAAGGATGTAAAAGAGATTAAGGAAAGAGTCAGTGGACTCCAAGGAGATATTTCAGAAAAGGAGGTGAGTGGTACAGTGTCTGTGTGATACATGTGACTTCTATCTTTTATACAAATGGGGATATTTGACATTTCTACAAATAGAATTATTCAAATCTGATGTATTGCACACTGATGTATTGCACACGTAGCTTTTGCTGCGAGGGGAGGGTGGGGGGGCGGGGGTTAAGGGTGGAGGACAGTGAGAAGAACCAATGCATAGAACAGTGAAGAACTCAATGCATTAAAGAGTTAATCTGCAGTTATTAAATTCAACAACAACAACTTGGATTTATATAGCGCCCTCCACACCGGACGGCGTTTCAGAGCACTTTACAGTAACGGATCCCGGGATCGAGCCAGGGGGAGGGGGAGGAAGGTGACCAAAGACGTGGTTGAAAAGAAAGGTCTTTTGTTGTTAAATTCATTTTTTTGTATTTGTGTCAGGTGTTAGCTCTTTCCTTATAGAAACATAGAAACAGGCGTAGGTCATTCAGCCATGAATCCTAGGCCCCTAGGAGTTCAGACCCGCATGAGTGAAGCCAATGAATATGGCTTCTGTCTTGCCAACATTCATCTGCAGGAAATTTTTGCTCATCCAGGCCTTGATGTCTGTCAAACAAGCTGACAGTACATCAGCAGACTGGGAGTCACAGCTGGAGAAGGAGAAGTAGATTTGGGTGTCATCTGCATATATATGGAAGTTGACACCATGTCTGCGGATGGCATCACCGGGAAGGAGTATGTAGATAAGGAAAAAAAGGGGGCCAAGGATTGAGCCTTGGTTACCCCGCAGGTGACCGGGCAGGTGCGGGAAGACCGTTGCAGGGTTAACATTGGCTGTGTGGCAAGAATCTCTGCTCCCAGTGACTGGTAGGAGTGACTCCAAGTCCTGCTGATGAACCAGGCTGGCTGGCTAATCTCTTTATGTTGTGTCCTCTTTTCTTGCCTTGAATCTCTTTGACCTGGTCTTCCATTAACATCCTCAACAACTCCCCACTTTCTCAGCTTGATCAGTGATCCAAACCATCTCTGTAAAGCACTTTGAAATGTTATCCTAAGTGTTAGTTGCTATTTAAATAAAAGGAGATATAATTCAAACTTTTCTTTATCTTGCAATATATTAGGCTGCACTACTAGATCTTAAAGAGCATGCTTCATCATTGGCATCATCTGGGTTGAAGAAGGATTCCAAGGTGAAGACATTGGAGATCGCTTTTGAACAGAAGAAAGAGGAATGTGCTAAGCTTGAAGCACAGCTGAGAAAGGTACATTGATATCCTGTCTGTAGAATCTGCATACCAGACTGATAGTTCTACATATGTATGTGACTTACACGTGGAAATTTCCCTGTGTCTGGAAAGGATTTTCACTCTCTCGCTGGAGGGAGGGATGCACCCTGCTGACCTAAGAGCATTACGCGCAGATTGGCTGGAGGCAAAACTTGGGACCCCAGAGTGTGTGTTTTGGCTATTGCTGCAATTTAATCAGCAACAACAAAATTACATTTTTAAAGCGCCTTTCGCGTTGGGAGGACATCCCAAGGAGCTGAACAGTCAGGGATCAGGACCCGAGCATGGGGTACAGGGTTGGGATGAGGGAGCGCAGAAGGGGTAAAAAGGCCCCTGTAGGCACAGTCAAAAAGGAGGGTTTTGAGTTGTGCCTTGAAGAGGCAAGAGAGGGAGCAAGGCGAAGGGATTGTGGGATGGAGTTCCAAAGAGTGGAGGGAAAGGCTGAAAACCCGGCCGCTGATGGTAGGGCGGGTCAGGCGGGAGACATGGAGTAGGCCGGAGCCTGCTGAGTGGAGGGAGAGGACAGGTTGATTGGGGTCAGAAAATCAGAGATGCAGGAGGGAGCAAGGCCGTGGAGGGCCTCGAAAGTGAGAACGAGGATTTTGAATTCTATGAGGAATAGGGAGCCAGTGGAGCCGGGCGAGGTGGATGTGATCACGGAGCCCAGTGCGGGAGAGGATACGAGCTGCAGAGTTCTGGATGATCTGCAGCTTGTGAAGGGAAGAGTTGGGGAGGCTGACAAGGAGGGAGTTTCCATAGTCGAGCCTTGAGGTGACGAATGCGTTTCCATAGTCGAGCCTTGAGGTGATGAATTCGGCAGCCTGAGGGGTGAGGCAGTGGCGGAGTCAGGCAGTGTTGTGGAGATCTCTCTCTTAGTCTTTCCCTCGTTCTCAGTCTCTCTCTCCCAGAGAGGTTTAATATCCTGTCTGTAGGGGCTTAATTAAAGCATTTTTTAATATAGCTCATCAACGATAGGAGATTTCCCCCAAAAAATATGTACATTACACTGCCAGTTGCAAGACTTTTCTGATGAGGTATAAATCATGTCTCTATGTCAATCGGTTATCTCATGATTCTCAGATATACAGACAGACAGATATTTTGTCTTTATTATTATAAGAGATTACTGCCTGTATCTTTGTGAGAAAACAGGATCAGATGGAAGAAGGAATGAATGTATTCTTGCCCCTTTGATAAGAAGGTGAAAGCACATTAACAGCTACATTTTTAACCTGAATGATTCTGAGTTTCGACACTGAAAATTTGAAAGCATACTTATAAAAAACTCAATATAAAACCAAATTCAGTTGAGACTATTCGCTGCTTTTCCGGGGGTAATAATTCCTTCAAAAAAAATTGGTTACTCAATCCATTACTGTTTGTGGGACGGTTGGCTGCTGCGTTTCGTCCACAAAATGTACAGTTAATTCACGTCTTGAAGACGTCTCGAAGATGTGATAAGACACTATATCAAATACAAGGATTATTATTATTACAGTGACCCACATATAGGATAATGTCTTGGAGCACTTTTCGGGAGGTGACCACAGGTGCTGTTGAAGAAGTAGGTTTTGAGGCCAAACTTGATGGCAGGTGGAGAGGTTGAGATGGAGGTTTCCAGAGGTTAGGAATGTAGAATCTGAATGCTTCAACGTTAATAATGGTACAGGTAGGGCAGGCGATGTGCAGTTAGCCGAGCAAAGGGACATTTAGAGAAGTAGGGTAGGAGGAGATCGGAGAGATAGCGAGATATTACAGCATGAAGGTAAGGTGTGGGTGAGAACTTTGAAATCTAGCCACTTGATTATGAGCCAACTGACCTCAGTGGGAGTGCTCATAATCCTGCAAAAACTGTGATATAGTTCCTTGCCACAGATTTTGTATTGTAAGATTTTTTTTGTAGCACTTTTACATGAAGAGAGCCTAAATCCAATCTTGAAGTATTAAATCTTCAAAATATGTGGCGAAAAAACTTTTATTCCTCATTTTTATATTTTTATGACATTTTAAATGAATGTATGTGACTTTGTTGAATTCAAAGTCGGACCTTGGCAAAATGAAGCATTTATGTCCTTTGTACAGTTCTTCACCTCTTCAACTGAAATTTTTTGGGACCTCTCCCTGTACTGCAATCATGCCTTGCTGAGAAGGCAGACAGGTGATCTCCCAGTCCTAGAAAAACTACCAGTTATGTGGATATATATTGGGATAACGTGCTCTTGATTCTTTACACTTTGCTGCCCACCAGACATGGAAGGATCCAGTCTATTTTCTGTATCTACCCCACAGCATAATAAAAATAATAATACTTGCATTTGATATAATGCCTTATCACGTCGTTGAGATGTCTAAAATGTTTAACAGAATATACTGTAAAGTGAATGGACTATATTTTGTAGTTTCACATCTCCAAATTTAAGCCTGAAGCAACAGGGATAAATTGACATCATGGTCAGATGTATTTGGGACAATCACCAGGACAAGTATTTTCTATTATTCAGTGGTTCTTCCCTTTTAAAATATTTATTTTTTGTTTTCAATCTTTGTGGTTGTAGATATGTCACTGTTATCTCTGAGTCTTCTTGAGATATGCATTAGTTACTGCCCAAGGGTGGGACTGTCACAATTGCTCTTTGGAGCAATGTGTCAGAGATAGAGAAGTCAGCAGTTTGGGGATAGAACTCTTCCATGGTCCAGCATGTTGGTGCTCTAGCTTACTATCTGCCTGTAAAAATACAGTTATGAAATAGTGATAATAAAATAGTGTTGAAATAATAGATTTGTTTTGTGCCTGACAATTTCTCAGATTTTTAACTGCCAAAAGTGAAGTAGCCCGATCCTGCCACCGTGACCTTCTACCCGGCTGCTCTCTTCATTCACCAAACACTGGCCTGTTTCATGTCCCCAGCCTTATTCACGCCTACCCAACCACCTTGGTGGGCGAGCTTTCAGCCATTCTGACCTCGCTCTCTGGAACTCCTGGAGTCCCTTTGACTCGCTTCATCCCTCTTCTTGTCCAGGGCTCCTCTCAAGGCATATCTCTTTAATAATAATAATAATAATCCTTGCATTTGATATAGTGCTTTTCACGTCTTCTAGACGTCCCAAAGCGCTTCACAGAATATACTGTAAAGTGAATGGACTGTATATTTGTGGGTGAACGCGGCAGCCAATTGTGCACTGCAATGTCCCACAAACAGTCATGGATTGAAAATGACCAATTTATTATTGTTTTTTTTTTGGAGGGATTATTATTAGGCGGTTGGAGTAAGGAAACTTGCCCAAGGTTTCGCCCTGCCTGGAATTGAACTCGGGTCTCTCACTTGCAAAGAGAGTGCTCTAACCACTGAGCTACAGGACTTTAACCTTGCTTTCGATCATATTTCCCCTCACATGCCCCTTCAGCTCCTATTCTCCAGCTTGGATGCCCAGCAAGCAGTGATGAGCGCATTGAGATGTCCTCCTGACGTGAAAAGCACCATATAAAGATAACTGTAAATTGTATTGTATGAACTGAACCATTGCATGATAAAGTATCCTGGGAAATTTGCTTCTTCTAATGCCAGTTTAGTTACTGGAGCTAACAATTCAAATCAGAATTTCCTGTTCTTTCCCTGTATCCTTTTATCTTTTCGTTCTTCAAATGTTTATCTAATTCCCTTATAAATGTTATTGCTGCAGTCTGACACCTTGTGAGCTTTTAATCTTGGCCGTGTGTAATGGCACCAGAACAAAGTTTTCCTATCATCAATTGTCAGAACCTGGAATAACTATTGCCTGGGAGTGTTGCACGCTAAAGAGAGGGCAATGCTTTCATGTTAACGGTTTTAAGAAAAGTTTCAAATGATGTAAACAAAATTGATAAAGCTGAAATATTTTATAATTATCTGAACTCAATGGTTGTCAGTGGAGACTGATGTAGAGATTCTATAATTAGTTCAGGATCTTGGGTTAAGGAAGGGAAAATCCTCTGTTGTTTGTGTTCATGGTGATATCAAATGACGTGCCGCAGGTTCAGCTGTAATCCCTCCTCCAACCCCCGTAGTCAACTAGTTTGCTGGCAAGACTCGCACGTAAATAATTTGAGATACCCAAGCATGAGCTTCTCAACCAATGCTCACATGGTCAGCTCTTGTGTACTTCAGAAATCTATCCCGGATCCTATTCTTTATCAACGTGCAACATCTTCTGCAGGAGGCACAGATCTGTTTCCACATTTATGTCAAAACTCATCTCTATCTCTCGGCTTTCCATTCTGCTTTCCTGTCCAGAATGAAATGGAAAGCATCTGCTTTGCTTCTCCTGTATAGTATATTTTTTTTTCCCCCCTGCAACAGCTCTCACCCCTAATGTCAACCTGCAAAGTGTTTCCTGCATAGTGGGTTTGGTGGTCTCTGTTCGATCCTTCTCTGTGAGTCCAAGTTCCCTATTCTGAGGTGTAACTTCACTAATGAGTCAACACAACGACAGGTTATCCCAGTGCTTTATAACACTAGCAAAGGGATGCTTCCGTCAAATCCCTTTGCACCAACAGATAGTTACGTCGGCACACCTGGTTATGTAAATCCCTGCCTCCTGATTTAAACAGAGACGCATGATTAAGAAAGCTCCACACTTATTTTATTGGTGTTTCAGACACAACTCTATGACTTACTTACTAACTGTCTGTTAAATCTGAAAACGGTTGCAACGTTGAACAGTAATGCCTACACACTATACTATACAGCTGGTAGCCTTTTAACATGTTAATGAACAACAGAAAAAACAATCTTGACCCAGAGGACTCCTCCTCAAGTCAGGCACGTACCTCTTTGACGAAAAAACAAGGTGAATAGTGACCACGACCATTTGGGCTCACTCCTTTTAAGGGCATTAAGCCCATCCTCTTAGAAAATGTCTGCTGATACTTTTCCTGCCAAAATACATTGTATCACAATGGCTCTGCCCCCTGGATCCCTGCAATCCTTTTTAACCAG